ACTGTCACATTGACAACAAAAGGTTGGTTTTCCCTTTATATATATATATATATATATATATATATATATATATATATATATATAGATTTGAAGCCCATATATATATATATATATTTTCAAATAAACCTAAATAATATTAATCAAAATAATAAAACTTAAATAGATAATTCAATACAATGAAATAAATTTCATCTTATTTACTTAAAAATCAAGAAGTCATGTAGTAGTTGATGTTACTTTCTTCTTAATCGAGTTAAAAACTAGGTTGCAAAGTATATACGTTAGGCGCTAGTCGAGCGTCAGAGACTTGCCTAACAGAAGACAAAAAAAAAAAAAAAAAAAAAAAAAAAAAAAAAAAAAAGGGATTGTGCGTGCGTGTAATATTGTATTATATATATATATATATATATATATATATATATATATATATATATATACATAAAAAATATTAAACATGGCGCTAAGAATTGCAAAATAATAATAATAATAATAATAATAATAATAATAACTCGACTGAGTCAACATAGTTAATTCGATTGACTCAATCTGTTGATTTTGTTGAGTTAACTCAGTCGATTCGACGCCAAGTCTGCCGAATTAGACGTCTAACTAGTCGGTCGACTAGGTGACGCTTAAATGAGAAAGTGTCACGATTGGGTGACACTTAAACACGACTTTTACAACATTAATTACAAATAATTTATTCTCCGCAATATATAAGATATTATATATCGGTCTAGATATTAGCTCTATCATATAAAAGTATAAACTAAACATCATTGACCTAGACCAAAAAGGATTAGGATTACATGTTCATGGGCAAAACACGCAATTCCTAGTAACCCAAGCAAGAAGGAGGTTGTCCTAATCTTAATGGGCAACATGACTTAGCTTGCATACATATGTCTTGTTGTAATTTGTAAAGAATAACTTTAGATGGATAGGCGTCGAGTTATGATGCGATAAAAAGAAGTTTTGATTCCATCATTAGTGATGATAGAACTATCCTAAGCTTTGGTATAATTTAACACTTAAGTTCATTATCACCAACTAAGCAATTGATCCTAGGAATGCAATATATATCTTTTTTTTTTTTTTTTTTTTTTTTTGAAAACGAACGCAACTATATTTCATTATCAAAAGTCAAAGCACTTACAATAAAAGGAGGAACATCACTCCAACCAATTGATCCTAGGAATGCAATATATATCTTAAAATTTAATTTTGAGGAAATGTTGCCATTTTTAATGATCTATTTAGTACGAATATGATTAACCTCGTTGGTTAGACTCCTAGTAAACCCTGATTTGAGAAACATGTTGTCAAACCAAATAATAATAATAATAATAATAACAACAACAAGTCATATAATCCATATTATATTGAAATTAATGATCAATTATTATTATTGTGAATTTTTTTTTTTTTTAATGCTACTGACTCTATTGCAATGTAGTATCTGTTCATATACTTTCTCAACCTACTGACACAAAGAACCAATAACGCCTCCACTGAGGCTTGAACTCACAATCTTCCAAATAGAAGTCCAACCCGGGTACCATTAGACCATATAGTCTTGGTTTATTGTGAATTTTCTATTTATATTGAAAAGAAGTAAATGATAATTAAAGAATTTTGAATTAAATCTACTATACTAATAAGAGCCCAAGAGAGTTAGGCCTATAATGGATAGAAAAAATGACAGTCAAATTTTTTAATTAAATGAATGACTCAGATTGATAAGATTTTAATTTTTTCCTTAAGATTTCCTAATTTATCCTTAATGAATATGATTTTCCGTTAACTTTTCCGTTAAATATTATCTTTTCTGTTAATTTCTGTTAGTTCATCGTTAACTTACTCATTGATTTCAATAAGAAAGGTTTTAGGTTCGAACCTCATCCCAATCAAAGTTGGCATAATTAGTACTCTATTTTACTCTAATTAAATAAAATAATAATTTAGTAGCTACAATAAAAAGTAATACACATGCATTTCTTTAATTTATAATTATGTGTCTACAATATCTTTATTCAAAAAAAAAAATTATTCATTATCAATAAATTAAATAAGAGAAATAATTTCATTAGTTATATTGTGTTTACTTTTCTCCATATTAAAAATTCTTTACATTCAAATTCATCAATTGATTAATGATTATATTCGTTACATTGTCCCTACAATGTCTTTATTAAAAAAAATTATTCATTATCAAATATCAATAAATTAGTTAAGAGAAATAATTTTATTATTGTCATTATATTTCTTCAATGTACAAATTCATCAATTTATTATATTCACTACATTGTCTATTATCTTTTTTGTGCACTATTTTTTAATTAAATATCAAAGTTATAATACAAAATAATGCTATATATTTATTTACCAAGTATTTTATTAATATCATGAAAAAATTAAAAAAAATATAATTAATAAATTCAATCATATTAAATACTTGAGAGATTTGTTGACAAAGAGAGTATTCAAATCACACAACAAATTAAAGTGAGAACTACATCGCAATATCCTTACTTGACAATCAGCAGTTAGCGGATTATATTAGTGAATTTGACCAGCGAATTATATCAATGGTTGGTAAAAAGATATTTGAAAAACTTAGATGTTTAGATTAACATGTAAAATGATCTAAGGGTATACATAATAATAATAATAATAATAATAATAATAATAATAATAATAATAATAATAATAATAATAATAATAATAATAATAATAATAATAATTGATAATGTAAATACCACGTGTGCGGTAATATCAATAAAGTCCAGATCAATTAAAGCAAATAAAGACTTTTATTAATCCGGTAAAGGTTCTAAGTACAATCTACTTGGTTGCAACGAGTACCGACTGGATGCGGTCGGGAGTCTCTGAGTACAACCTATCGATTGTCCAAAAGTCCCCTACACTGTTGCGCTGGTGGGTATTTATAGCCGTTGAGCCTGGGACAAGAATCCGGCTGGTCGACATGCTTCCCACATAGCAACCACGTGTCAGCCGTTCGGGTGCCCTATCTGTCGCTGTCCAGTGCCGCCACGTGTCCTTAGTCAGCACTATCGCCAAAGGGCTACCGCTCGGTGGTTGACACCCTGGTCGGGCAATACCGGTCGGGTACCGACCGGGTTCTTCTATAAAAATCCGACCTGTAACCTGCAAAACAAGTAAGAAAGAGAACCAAGGCATGTCGGTCGGGGTATTCCCTACCAAGGGCCCCCCAGCCCGTGCCTTTTTGACCGCTAGGGAAAAATGGGGCGGGATGGAAAAGTCCAATCGCTCTTTGTTAACCCGACCGGACAGCTGTCATTCCCTCTCGCCACGTGTTGGACTCTGCACGCCTTAGGAAGTGCAACCGTCACCTCGAGTTCAGGAACAGTCGTGTCAGGCATGATGATTGGTTTCCCGCCCAAACCTTCTCCTTTAAATAGGCCTTTGAGAACTTCATTTGAACTTTCTCCAATCTACTGAAGCGGTCGGTATCCTCAGAGAGTTCCGAGCACTTCCTACAGCAGATCAGTCGAGCGAAGGAATTTCAAGCCTCCACAACTCAAGTCCTCCTGAACGGTAAGTTCTCTAATTCCCTTCTTTTACATTTTTCCTTATGCCGTAGCAGTAGGTACATAAGACTTAGGTATCCTCGACCTAACACCCCGAGCCCCTAACTGATCCCGACCACCCCTTAGGTAATCAAGATGTCGAGCTCTGATAGTCAAAACGCTTCGATCGGTGACTACGATCGAGAAGTCGAGGAATTCAGTGAAGAGATAGACATAATGTCGTACTCTCCTGAGGTCGTGCAACGACCGGGGAAGGCTCCCGAACGAGCCACCGCTTCCTAGGAGCCCACTAGGTCGAGCGGATCATCGGGATCCGGCTCAAGGGGCTCTGGGAGCTCAGATAGTGAGGAGACCTCCACGAGTGGACGAGGTCTCCCGACCAGAGGTGTTAGGGAAACACCTATCGGGGTGATAGGGGATCACCCGGATACAGCCACCCGACCACGCGAAGAGGCGGTCGAGGAAGAGATGGCCGAGCCAGCGGCCCGAGCAGATGACGGCTTTCAATTCCTCAACAGCGATAGCGTCGCGGAAGAGATGAGTGATCTCACGAAGGGAGAAGCCGCACGGATTTCCGAGAGATTAAACGGTCGGGTGGAATTCGATACCAGCCGGCGGCTCGGGAATGTGATCGAACGTCATCAGGGCAAGTGGATCGGGATGCACTATGACTCCCTGATGGCCCCTATAGAATTCCCCTTCCCGGCCATTCTGACCGCATTTTTGGGCTACTACCGGGTCATGCCAGGCCAGATATGCCTGAACTCCCATCGCATCATCGTCTGCTTCACCCAGATATGCACTCGGCATCAAGTGGCGTGCTCGATGGAGCTCTTCAACTTCATCTATCAGGTGAAGGTACTGTCACCCAACTACGGAGGAGGGTTCTTGATGGTGCAGTCTCGAGAAGGGAGGTGCACGATCGAGGGGTTGCCCGGGAATAACAAGGGCTGGAAGAATAGGATCTTCTCGGTCAAGTACGACTCGTGGATCCTCCCGGTCGACAGCGTGTGGAGCACTCATTTTAGAAAGCAAGTAGTGCCGGACGAGACTCAACTCCTCCGGGAAGCAGTGAAGAGGACCTCGAGCGAGGTACATGAGTACAGAATATTTCGGACGGCGGAGAGCCTTGAAGCAGCCCGGTTGCCGGATCCGGTATACGAACTGATGGAGAAGTACAAACCGGTCCCGATGGGAGTAGTGCCGGGAGCCCCTGCTCGGGGGAAGCGGAAGATAAAAGGTCTAACCCTACTAACTCTTCCCGACCTGACTTCCCGAGCGATGGGCATGTTCCCGATCTAACCAGCTTTTCCTTTTTTTTTTTTTTTTTGGCAGATATGGCGCCTAAACGCATCGTTCGCCCGAAGTCCCCACCCCGAACCAAGATCGCTCTGGGAAGAAGAAACCTGCAACGGGCTCATCCGGGGAAGACTCTATCCCGGTCGGCCGACCAGTCAACCCGGTCACTCTGGTGACTGAGGAGGGGGGCGTGGTGGACGCCTCGAAAACCCTGGTCACTCGGGTGACCAACAAGTCAAAGGGCTCGACCTCGAGCAGGTCAGTCGAGACGACGGCCCAGGAGATGGCCGGGAACAAGCGGCAACGGTCGGACAAAAGTCCGACCCCCACGATCGGTTCAGGGATGGCCGACGCCTCCATTCTGTCGCGGCTCGGTAACTTGACGCCAGACAAGACAGATTTGTCCAAACTAAGCTCGACCCAGTTGGCCGAGCGGCTAGGGCGTGATCTCTCTGAGGTATGATCGTCTTCCTTCTCCTTTTTATAATTTTTAAGTTATTGCGTTCGGGCTGACTCCATTGTTCATGCAGGCATCTCGGATCGGGGCGATCCTCCACGGTCAGGCTCTGCTGGCTACCGAAGCAGATCGGTACAAGAAGCTGGCTGATCGGAGGCTCAAAGAAAACGCCGAGCAGGCCCTCGAGCTAAAACAGGCCAAAGAAGCGCTCGAGAAAGGGAGGACCGAGCGGGGAGCTCTCTTGAAGAAGCTAACGGATCTAAAGGAGCGGATGAAGAGTTTGGAAGCCCGATCAAGTGACCCAGACGCGGCCGTTAGATACTTCTTCCGTGACGTAGCCCCTGGGATAGAGTTTATGCGGAAGATGTGATCGTGGACGAGATCGTATGGACGTTTGGTAACTGAGCCTACAGCACCGGGGAGAAGGACATGCGCGACCGAACGGAGAGCAACATGAGGGAGGCCCTAGAAGGCGAGGACCTCGAACTGGTGTTGACCACCCTCCCAACAGCTGGTCCCGACCCCGGGCAAGATCCTTTTGATCCCGAGCTCGAGATCATAGAGCCGAGTGCAGCTGCGGCTGGAGTGGAGCCGACCGGGAAGGACACTGCCACCCCGAGCGACGCCGAGGCGGCCAAGAAATGAGGACTGCGATCCTCTTTGTTTTCCTTCCTTTTTTGTAGTAACGCCAATCGGGAGCCCGGTCCCTAGTTTGTACCGGGCACACTTTAACGTTAAATAATAAAGTTTTGTTTGAAGTCTATCTACTCGTTCCTTTTATGCTTTACGCTTTTTAATCGCCTTGTATGTATGTCAAACATAAACCACGACCAGATGGCCTAATGGCCTAGCCCGACCAGATGGCCTAATGGCTTAGCCGTATATTCTCGACTGGCCTTATTGGTCTGGGATAATCCCGATCAGTCGGCCTTGTCGAAATTTTTGATTTACCGAAGTTTTGAAGATAGGCCTTCTAATCGGGGTGTTCCCGATCAATTGACCTTATGTACTTCCTTTATCCTAGCCCCCACACTTTTGTACGCTCGAGATACGAGTGGGTGCGAAAGTGGACAGAAGTTGGACGGATCGGGGAATTATGCTGTGAGCTCTGGCTTTCCCGATCGGTGGCGTGACCGGATGTCCGCCGAAGAGGAGCGCAATCGGTCAGTCGATAGTATCGCCCGACCTGATGATATGTGAATTTTAAATCACTAGTTAAGAGGTTATTAGAACCTGATTGTGTGCCCCTATCAGTGAAACTGAGGGAGTGGCGTTGTGGAGCTTAGAGCCCCAGAGTTGCTGCTGTGCGGTCTCGATCGGGTAACGCTCGAACGGGACCGAGTGAGGAATAACTCATGAAGGTAAAAAACCGATCAGGCCGCCGTGTGCAAACGGTCGAGCAATCACTGATCGTATATACATTAACCTTTCCCGTACGCAGACGGTTTGAAATATTTACAATATTCATAAAGATAACGAACGAGGCTAACGTGCAGGTCGAGCCCCCACTCCGTTAAAAATACATAAAAAATGATCAATGCCTAAACATTACGAGGTGCTCAGAATTCCAAGTACCCTCGATCTCCCGACCGGTTGTTGTCTCTAGTCGGTATGTTCCCGGCCGCACTATAGCGCTGACGATGTACGGCCCTTCCCAATTTTGCGCGAGCTTTCCTCCTTCAAGTGGTTGACTGGCCTCTCGTCTCCGGAGCACATAATCTCCCACTTGGAAATAGCGAGGGTTGACATGAACATCCTTGGAGCTTTTGACACGCTTCTGATACTCTGCCATACGTCGAGCGGCTAGCTCCCTCTTCTCCTCGACTCCGTCGAGATCCACGACCATCGAATGTTCATTTTCCTCAGCGTTAAATGTACGTTCTCGAGCGGTCGGGATCCAAGCCTCGATCGGCAGTCGGGCTTCTGCTCCATAAACAAGGGAGAACGGTGTTTCCTGCGTAGCTTCTCTCGGGGTCGTTCGATAGGTCCACAGTATATATGGCAATTCATCAGCCCAGCTACGACCTGCCGAGTGTAGCTTCTTCTTCAGACCTTCCAATATTGTCCGATTGGCGTTCTCCACTTGTCCGTTTCCCTGCGGATAAGCCACCGACGATCGGACATGAGTTGTCCCGATCGTGGCTAGAAAGTTCTGGAAATACTGGCTCACAAATTGGCGGCCGTTGTCGCTGATAAGATGCACGGGCACACCAAAGCGGGAAACTACATTGCGCCATAAAAACCGAGCACACTGCTGGGATGTGATCGTCGCTAGTGGCTCCGCCTCGATCCGCTTGGAAAAGTAATCGATGGCGACAATCACGAACTTTCTTCGCCCGGCCAGCTGGGGAAAAGGCCCCAGGATATCTACCCTCCACCTAGCAAAAGGGATGGCGGTCGTGACAGGTTGGTAGAACGTGGCCGGTCGTCCGGGCATCCGTGCAAATAGCTGGCACGTCTCGCAATCCCGAGCGAGCTTATCACAGTCAAGCTGTATAGATGGCCAGTAATACCCGATCACCATGATCCGACGGGCTAGTGATCGACCTCCTTGATGTGAAGAACAGATGCCGGAATGTAACTCTTTCATGACGAGGTCGGCCTCGAATGCGGTCAAGCAACGCATGAGCGGGCCTCCATATGATCGTCTATACAGACGTCCTTCCAATACTTGGAACCTCGGGGCTCTAAGTTTGGTCTTTCGAGCACGCTGGGGGTCGTCTGGGAGCCGACCGTGCTCAAGAAATTGCTTCAAATCAGTGATCCAGTCGTCTTCTGCCGGTTGGATAGGATTAACCGGCAATCGATGTATGCTGTGTCTTGGGATCACCAAGATTCGAGCGATCTTTGACATATGTTCCGGGGCGTCCTGAGCCAATTTGGAAAGAATATCAGCATCTGCGTTGTCCAATCGGGGAATATGGTGGACGGTATATCCGCGGAACAAAGCAAGCTTCTCCATGGCCAGGTCTCGGTACTGTTGTAGACGCTCTCCATTCACTTCATAGTCTCCGAGAACTTGCACGACCACGAGCGCAGAGTCTGTCTGAGCCCTCAAGTATTCAGCCCCCAGGTCCCGAGCGCACTGTAAGCCATTGACAAAGGCTTCATACTCGGCCTCATTGTTGGTCGGGTGAAATTGATACATCAGGGCAAAATACACCTTGAAACCCTCCGGGCTCGTAACCACGACTCCTCCTCCTGCACCCTTTTTGCTGCTCGACCCATCAGTAGCCAACGTCCACCACTCGGCCTCGGGATCCGCAACCTCGGCCGGTCGGTTATCCCGGGCGGTGCACTCGACCAAAAAATCTGCCAAAACTTGGCCCTTGATTGCTGGTCTCGGACGGTACTCTATAGCATATTGGGTCAGCATCAACGCCCACTTGACTAGGCGGCCAGATGAGGAAGCGGTGCGGAGGACTGGACCGATTGGCTGATCGGTCAAAACTCGAATCGGTCGACCCTGAAAATACTGAGCCAACTTCTTCGCTGCAACATAGAGAGCGTAGACGACCTTCTCTAGCCGGGAATATCGGAGCTCGGGACCATGTAGCGCGTGACTTACATAGTACACCGGTCGCTGAACTCCTTCCGGATCGGTTCGGCACAAAATTGCGCTTACTGCACGATCGGAGACGGCGAGGTACACGTCTAACTCTTCTCCAAGCTCGGGCTTTGAGAGCACGATCGGTGACATCAGGTACTCTTTCAGCTCATCAAATGCCGCTCGGCACTCTTCGTCCCAGACGAATCCATTCACTTTACGCAATACCTTGAAGAAAGGTAAAGCGCGCTCGGCTAATTTGGAGAGGAACCGGCTGAGTGCTGCTAACCGACCGGTCAACTGCTGGACTTCCCGAACGGTAGATGGTGGCTGCATGTCCAGGAACTTTGGCCGGGTTGGGCTCGATTCCCCGCTTGGTCATCATGTAGCCGAGGAACTTTCCGGTTTGAACCGCAAATGTACACTTGGTCGGGTTCAACCGTAACTGGTACTTCCTCATGATCTGGAAGCACTCCCGAAGGTCCCGAGTGTGGTCGGATCGGTCCCGACTCTTGACCAGCATATCATCGATATAAGCTTCCATCGTTCGGCCTAAGAGATTGCAAAAGAGCATATTGACCATTCTCTGGTAGGTCGCTCCTGCATTGCGAAGGCCGAACGGCATCACTCGGTAACAATACAACCCGTCTGGGGTGACGAAGGCTGTCTTGCTTTCATCTTCATGGTGCATCATAATCTGGTGGTAGCCTTTGAATGCATCCATGAAGCTCATCAGCTCTGCTCCTGCTGTCTCATCGACCATCTGGTGGATGCTCGGCAACGGGTACGGGTCGAGAGGGCAGGCCTTGTTCAGATCCGTGAAGTCAATGCACATCCTCCACGCCGGTGGCTTGGGAACCAACACAATGTTCGCCACCCACTCGTGGTAGATTACTGGTCGGATGTGCTCGATCGCCGCCATTTTCTTGACCTCCTCGCGAACGAACTCGCGGCGATCGGAAGAAAGATGCCTAGTCTTTTGCACGACCGGCTTCGCTGCGGGATCAACGGCTAATCTGTGGCAAATCACCGTCCGGTCGATCCCGGGCATATCTTCGGGCCCCCATGCAAATATATCAGCGAACTCCCGGAGAATTGCCAACACTTCCGCTCGTAGCTCAGGGGTGAGAGCCCGACCAATCTTTATCTTCCTGTCCGGTTGGTCCTCGGACAGGGGAACTTCCTCAATTTCTTCGGAGGGCTCGGGTTGTTCCTTGCGCTCGACCGAGGCCTCCTTCACTATGGTATTCACCCGGGAAGACGTGCCAGTATCACGTCTATTGACCGCTCGGGTGTAACATTTCCGGGCGGACTGGACATCGCCTTGGACCACGCCGACCCCGTTCGGGGTGGGAAACTTCATGCAAAGATGCGGCATGGAAATTATCCCACCTATCCTCATGATGGCGGGTCGGCCTAAAATGATGTTGTGGACGCAATGGAGGTTGACCACAACGAACTCAAGCTCCGTCTTGATCGACTTCGGAGAGGTGCCGATCTCTACGGGGAGTGTTATTTTTCCTTCGGGGTAGATGAGGGCCCCGGTAAATCCGGACAAGGGGACGCCGACCGGAGTCAGTTCACGCCTGTCCAATTTCAATTTCTCAAACACGTCCAAATAAAGGACGTTGACACTACTCCCCGTGTCTACCATAACCCTCTGGACGTCAGTGCCTTTGACGTCGATGGTGACCACGAGTGCCTCCATACCGTGGTCACCACTGCTCGGTTGATCCTCCAGGGTGAAGGTTATGGGCTCCATCTTTTGACGTTTCCCGGTGTCTCGGGAATCCACGATCGCGACCGGGCAGTTTTCCCTCGGTCGGGAAGCGTCATCCAATCCACCAAAGATTACGTGGATCGTCGGCTTTCCTGCCGGTCGGCTGCTTGATGGGGGGTCAGGGTCTCTTCGGTCGTCCCTTCGATCATCTCTCCTTTCTGACCCCGCCCGATCGGAGCGTTCCTCCCGATCAGATCGATCGGAACGGTGGTGAGAGCGACGATTGTCCCTCCGATCGGTGTTTTTCTTGGCCTCTTCCCTCTTCCCCACATACTTGTCTAACTTGCCAAGGCTGAGCAAGTCTTCCAGCAATTGTCT